CTTGGGTGTATGTGGCTGGTGCCTTAGTCACTTGAGCCACAGGTGCAGAGCCTATTCTGCTATATTCTATGGCAAATGATAGTGAATTTCCATTAATGGTAGTGGTATAAAATGGTAGTGATATAAAAATGTCTTCAATGGGCAGCACCTGTGGCCTAAAGGAGCAGGGTGCCGGCCCCATATGCTGGAGGTGATAGGTTCAAACCCAGCCCCAGCCAAAAACTGCAAAAAAATAAAAAAAACATGTCTTCAACTTGTTTAAGTGTTTTCATATGCATAAATACCTTTGAAAGGAAGCATAAAAAACTGGTAATGCATGTTGCCTTCAGGACTGTTTTGGGGGCACTGGGGTAAACAGGGTAGGAGGGAAATATTTCACATGTATACTGTGGCGTACCTTTTAAATTTTGTTACCCAAAGTGGAGAAAAGACAAATTTGATTAGTTACAAAATTCTTTTCTGTTTTTTGGAGACAGAGTCTCACTTTGTTGCCCTGGTAGAATGCCACAATGTCATAGCTCACAACAACCTCAAACTCTTGGGCTCCAGCGATGGATTCTCCTGCCTCAGCCTCTCAAGTAGCTGGGACTACAGGTGCCCGCCACAACGCCCGGCTATTTTTAGAGACTGGGTGTGTGGTCGCTCTGGCACAGGCTGGTCTCGAAGCTGTGAGCGCAGGCAATTCACCCGCCTTGGCCTCCCAGAGTGCTAGGATTACAGGCCGTGAGCCACTGCGCCTGGCCTAGTTACAAAAAAAAAAAATTTTTTTTTGAAACAGTCTCACTATGTCGCCATCAGTAGAGTGCCGCATCGTCACAGCTCACAGCAACCTCAAACTCCTGGGCTTAAACAATTCTCTTGCCACAGCCTCCCGAGTCGCTGAGACTACGGGCGCCCGCCACAACGCCCGGCTTTTTTTTGTTGCAGGTGTTTAGCTGGCCTTGGCCGGGTTCGAACCCGCCACCCTCGGTGTATGTGGCTGGCGCCGTAAGTACTATAATACGGGCGTCGAGCCATAGTTACAAAATTATTAATAGCGCAAGTGACAAGGCAAAAACTGTGAACGTCTTAAGAGAATGAATGAAGGTAGGGAAACTATCAAAATCTTAAAGGAGGTAAAACACCTTTTTGTAATGAAAATACAGAGACGAGTGTGCCGCACCCCAGCCCTGCCAGGTGGTTGGAATATCCTTGTACGCATGTGCACAGTTTAGAGGGGGCCATTTCCGCGAGTGTCTATCCGTCCCCCACCAAGAGCAAAGCGAAAAGAGTACGCAGGCCTGCCAGGAGCACGTACGCACGTACGTAAGCACGCACGCCCCGCCCCGCCCCACGTCCGGATCCGGAATCTCGAGGCAGCCAGGCCCCAGGCGTCTGGATTCCGGAGGTAATGCCCTGGAGGGCTGGGAACGGAGTAGAGGCTGAGGGCGGCGCCGAGGAGGGCGGCGCCGAAGAATACGGCCCTGAAGAGTACGGCCACGAGGAGTCGGGCGCTGAAGAGTCTGGCCCAGAAGAGTCCGACCCGGAGGAGTCGGGTACCGAGGAGGAGATGGATGCCGGCCGGCCGCGGCCGGTGCTACGTTCGGTAAACTCACGCGAGCCCTCCCAGGTCATCTTCTGCAACCGCAGCCCGCGCGTGGTGCTGCCTGTGTGGCTCAACTTCGACGGCGAGCCGCAGCCCTATCCGACGCTGCAGCCCGGCACAGGCCGCCGCATCCACAGCTACCGAGGTACGGGACCCACCGCGCCTCCCACTTTGTCCTGGGGTGCGGCGAGCGCTCGTCGGTGCCGGTGCTGAGCGCCGTGCCCAGAGCGCTAGGCCTGATCTCAACAGTAACTATAGCACCATCTGTTTCAATCGCCTCCATCATCCTGGAGAGCAGGTGACACTACTGTTACTATTCCCATTTTACGGATGAGGAACTGAGGCCCCAGGGATGTGACATTTCCAAAGTAACGCTGCTAGTAAGTGGCAGAGCATTCTTCTTTGTAAGACTGAATAAGAAGTATTTGAAAGAGTTTCTCTCCCTTCTGCTTCTATTTTTCCTTAAAAGATGTGCCCAATCCCAACGCTCATCTATTCAATACTGATGAGCCCCAGTGGGCCAATTCCGTGTAGGGTCAGAGTCCCTGCCTTCCTGGAGGACACTGCGGCTGGGGAGACAAACAAGAATCAGCTAGTTGGGCGGCGCTTGTAGCTCAGGGCGTAGGGCACCGACCGCATATACCGAGAGTAGTGGGTTCAAACCCGGCTCCGGCCGAACTGCAACAAATAAAGCCGGGGGTTGTGGCGGGCTCCTGTAGTCCCAGCTACTCGGGAGGCTGAGGCAAGAGAATCACCTAAGTCCAGGAGTTGGAGGTTGCTGTGAGCTGTGACGGCGTGACGGCACAGCACTCTACCGAGTGCGATAAAGTGAAACTCTGTCTCTAAGAAAAAAAAAAAAAGAACCATCCAGTGTCTTGATTGCTGCTACAGTGAGGAGAGGAGTTATGTGGTTCCAGTTAAGGGAGAGAAGAAAGGGAGCGGGATGAGTAGGAGCTAGCCAGCCCTGAAGAGTAGTTGAGAGTTTTACATTGGGACTATAGAAATGTTGATCAGGGCCTAAAACCTGGAGCCTTGGCAGAGGAAGCCCAAAAGGTGATTTTACCCTAGGTAAAAAGAGTCATTGGGTTTGGCACCTGTAGCTCAAATGGCTAAGGCCCCAGCCAGCCACATACACCAGAGGTGGCAGGTTCGAATCCAGCCCAGACCTGCCAAACAGCAATGACAACTACAACCAAAAAATAGCTGCTTATTGTGGCAGACGTCTGTAGTCCCAGCTACTTGGGAGGCTGAGACAAGAGAATCGCTTAGACTAAGGTGACCAGACATCCGCTTTTGGCGGGACAGTCCCGATTTTTAATAATTTGTCCTGTGTCCTGCGGCATTTTAAAAAAGCCCCGATTTTGGGAAGGAATGGCCGACATGCTAGGGAACACGGGAGAACAGGAAGGGTTTTCAGCTGCCATGTGGCTATTTCACCAAGATATGCGTTTTATATTATTTTTGTTAATTTTATAATGTTAAACTTTAATGGTAACAAATAATTGTTGAGAACTGATTATTGAGAACTGCTGACCAAAGTTTGCATTGTTGTCCCACCCCACCCCCAGGCCCCGCCCCCCCAATGGTGTCCCTCTTTACCAATGTTAAAATCTGGTCACCTTAGCTTAGACCCAAGAGTTGGAAGTTGCTGTGAGCTGTGACACCACAGCACTCTACCCAGGGTGACAGCTTGAGGCTCTGACTCAAAAAAAAAAAAAGTCATTGACAGTTTGGAAGTGGGGAGATGACATTGTCACATATTGTCCTGAAAAGCTCACTCCGGTTGCAAGGCCATTTGGAGGTAGAAAACTACTGGTGAGGAAGCAGTTAGACAGCTGTTATAAAAATCCAGGTGAGGGGCTGGGCTCCCAGACCCAGCCACATACAGCAAGGCTGGCGGTTTCAAACCTGACCTGGGCCAGCTAAACAACAATGACAATTGCAGCAAAAAATAGCTGGGCATTGTGGTGGGTGCCTATACTCCCAGCTATTTGGGAGGCTGAGGCAAGAATCACTTAAGCCCAAGAGTTTGAGGTTGCTGTGAGCTGTGATGCTATGGCACTCTACTGACAGTGACATAGAGTCTGTCTCAAAAAAAAAAAAAAAAAATCCAGGTGAGGTATAACTAGGCCATACCTAAAGTTGGAGACAGAAAAGTAGTCCTACTCTGACATAATTTTTTCAGTCATCCTATAAGGATAATGATGGATCTTTCCTCTTTGAGGTTGGTATCCTTAATAAGCTAATGCTTTTCGAACTTTTACACCAAACTTCTCCTAGTGTTAGATGAGGAAGGACACAATACTTAACAGGGATCAACATTTAACATTTCTGTACTCTCTGAGTTCTATGAATTTTGGTTTTTTTTGGTTTTTTTTTGAGACAGAGCCTCAAGCTATCCGCCTGGGTAGAGTGCCATGGCATTATAGCTCACAGCAACCTCCAACTCCTGGGTTCAAGCGAGTCTCCTGCCTCTGCCTCCCAAGTAGCTGGGACCACAGGCGCCTGCCACAACGCCCGGCTATTTTTTGGTTGCAGCCGTCATTGTTGTTTGGCGGGTCCGGGCTGGGGATTCAAACCCGCCACCTTAGGTGTACGTGGCTGGCGCCTTAGCCGGTTGAGCCATAGGCGCCGAGCCTGAATTTTGTTTTCAACTTAAAATAAATCTGTGCTTGATATATTAGATTTTAGGTGTGGTGATTTACTCCTGTAGTCTTTTTTTTTGTTTTGTTTCTGGGCCGGGCCAGGTTTGAACCCGCCACCTCTGGTATATGGGGCCAGCACCCTACTCCTTGAACCACAGGCACTGCCCTACTCCTTTAATCTTTATTTTTTCTTTTCTTCTTTTTGAGACAGTTTCACTTTGTCACCCTCAGTAGAGTGCCATGATATCATACCTCACAGCAACCTGAAACTCAAGGGGTTCTCTTGGCCTCAGCCTCCTAAATAGCTGAAACTATAGGCACCTGCCACAATGTCTGGCTATTTTTAGAGACAGGGTCTTGCTCTTACTCAGGGCAGTCCATCTGCCTTGGCATCCCAGAGCGCTAGGATTCTTTCTTTTTTTTTGGTAGAGACAGAGTCTCACTTTATTGCCCTTGGTAGAATGCTGTGGCATCACAGCTCACAACAAGCTCCAACTCCAGAGTTTAGGCGATTCTCTTGCCTTATCCTCCCAAGTAGCTGGGACTACAGGCACTCGCCAAAACGCCCAGCTATTCCAGAGTGCTAGGATTACAGGCGTGAGCCACCACTCCCAGCCAGTTTACTCCTGTAATCTTAACACTTTGGGAGTTGGAGAAGGGAGGATTGATTGAGCCCAGGAGTTTGATACCAGCCTGGACAATGTAACAAGACTCCATCTCTCTATAAAAAAATTAAACAGGGGGTGGTGCCTGTGGCTCAGGGAGTAGGGCAACTGCCCTATATACCGAAGATGGCAGGTTTAAACCTGGCCCTGGCCAAACTGCAACAAAAAAAACAGCTGGGCATTGTGGTGGGTTCCTGTAGTCCCAGCTACTCAGGAGGCTGAGGCAAGAGAATCGCCTAAGCCCAGGAGTTGGAGGTTGCTGTGAGCTGTGACACTACGGCACTCTACCCACGGCGATAAAGTGAGACTCCGTCTCAAAAAAAAAAAAAAAAAAAAATAGCCGGGTGTTGTGTTCTAGCTACTCGGGAAGCTAAGGCAAGAGAATCGCCTAAGCCCAGGAGTTGGAGTTTGCTGTGAGCTGTGACACCACAACACTACTGTGGGTGATAAAGTGAGACTCTATCTCTAAAAAAACAAAACTTAAGCATGACTTGATCTTAAATCTTAAATGTTTGCTATCGCCTGTCTGCTTGGGACCCCTCACAGAATGCAAAACAAGTTAGCAGCAAATGAGCATATTTGGAATTTACTCTACAGTCTCAACTGTTCTTATCATGATAATGGCTGAAACTGGAAGACATTTAAAAACCCTGAAGTCATCTATACTTGCTATTTATTTCATCTTCTCATTCGGAACAAACAATAAAATATTCACAAATACCACCAATCTAAGCACCTGTTTCAAACGAAACTTTAGCCTTTAGGTTGCAAAATAATTTCTTCACAATTAAGCAAACAGCAGCAGAAGACCCATGTCAGTTGCTTCGCTCTTCCTGGAGAAGTATACAGGATAAACACATCTTAGGGGCTTCTCTCTGTTAAATCTGAGAGGTGGAACAAACAGCCTGGTCTTTTCCATTCCAAATCATGGAGGTAATGTGTAGAGAAGAGATACCCACATTTGAAGAATAGGGAAAGTGGCTGGATAAAGGAAGTCGAACTGCCTGCTGTAGGAGATAACACAGAGATACTTTCCAAGTCCTGAGTTTAGTATTTTGTTTTTGAGATGAATACGAAAACACCTAAAGGTCAAGGAAAATGTTCTTCCTGTGATAAGGAACCTTGCACGGCCAGACGGATGAACTTGGCCTCCTAGGGCCTGGCCCAGAGGCCAGTCACCAGCTGCATGCCTCACTCCGACATCTTTGCTCCTTCCTTTTTTTTTATTTTGAGACAGAGTCTCATTATGTCGCCCTCGATAGAGCGCTATGGCATCACAGCTCACAGCAACCTCAGACTCTTGGGCTCAAGTGATTCTCTTGCCTCAGCCTCCCACATAGCTGGGACTACAGGTGCCGGCCCCAATGCCTGGCTTTTTTTTGTTTTTTGTTGCAGTTTTCATCTCCCCCAGGCCAGTTTCAAACCCACCAGCCTGGGTGTGTATGGTCAGTACCCTACCCGTTGAGCTATGGGCACCGTCCTGTGTTCTGGATTTGATTCTCAACTTGACTGTCAGTTAGTGTATATGGAGGCTACTGATTTTCTATGCATTGATTTTATAACCAGAGACATTACTATGGAACGTAACAGGGAATCTGGAGATGAAACCATCCTCACATTGTCACCTGATCTTTGACTAAGCAAACCAAGTTGTACACTGGAGAGAATTCCTATTCAGTAAATGGTGCTGGGAGAATTGGTTAGCCACATGAAAAAGGCTGAAACTAGACCTGTACCTCTCACCACTTACAAATAATAACTAATGATGGATAAATGATTTAAATCTAAGAGATGAAACTATAAAAATCCTGGCCTGGCAGGTTAGCTCACACCTGTAATCCTAGAGGGCAAGGTGGGAAGATTGCTTGAGCTTAGGAGTTGTAGACCAGTCTGAGCAAGAGCAACACCCTGTCTCTGCTAAAAATAGAAAAAATTAATCAAGTATTGTGGCAGATGCCTATAGTCCCAGCTACTTGGGAAGCTGAGGCAGGAGGATCACTTCAGCCTAGGAGTTTGAGGTTGCTGTGAGTTAGGCTAACACCATGGCACTCAAGCCTGGGCAACAGAGTAAGACTATGTCTCAAAAAAATGAAAACAAAACAAAACTTTAAAAATCCTAGAAGAAAATTTGAGAAAAACTTTTTTTTTTTTTGTCTTTTATCACTTTGTCTCCCTCAGTAGAATGCCATGGCATCAAAGCTCATAGCAACCAGAAACTCTTGGGCTCAAGTGATTCTCTTGCCTCAACCTCCCTAGTAGCTGGGACTATAGGCACCCACTACAGTGCCCAGCTATTTTTAGAAATGGGGTCTCCCTCTGGCTCAGGCTGATCTCAGACTTGTGAGCTCAGGCAATCCATCTGCCTTGGCCTCCTAGAGTGCTAGGGAAAAGCTCTTAATCTTACCAGCTAGGGAAAGAATTTATGAAGAAGACCCCAGTGGCAATCACAGCCACAACAAAAATGAACAGATGGAACCTGATCAAGTTTAAAAGATTTTACACAGCTGAGGACCCAACAAAGGAAAGAGATGACTTCCAGAATGGGAGAAGATATTTGCATGCTATGAATCCAACAAAGGGCTAATAACCAGAATCTACAAAGAACTTAAGCAAATTAACAGGGAAAGATCAATCAACTCCATTAAAAATTAGACTAGACCTATAATCCTAGCACTCTGGGAGGCTGAGGCAAGTGGATTATTAGAGCTCAGGAGTTTTGAGAGCAGCCTGAACAAGAGGGAGATCCCGTCTCTACTAAAAATAGAAAAGCTAGCTGGGTGTTGTGGTGGATGCCTGTAGTCCCAGCTACTTGGAAGTCTGAGGCAAGAGGATATCTTGAGCTCAAGAGTTTGAGGTTGCCGTGAGCTATGTGATGTCACAGCACCTACTGAGGGCAACAAAATAAGACTGTCTCAAAAATGAAAAAAAGGCGGCACCTGTATCAGTGGGCAGGGTGCCGGCCACACAGTGAGGATGGCGAACTGGAACCTGGCCTGGGCCAGCTAAAAACAATGACATCTGCAAGAAAAAAAATAGCCAAGTGTTAATGGCTGGCGCCTGTAGTCCCAGCTACTTGGGAGGCTGAGGCAAGAGAATCCCTTGAGCCCAAGAGATTGAGGTTGCTATGAGCTGTGACGCAGTGGCACTCTACCCAGAGTGACAATTGAGACAGTCTCAAAAAAAAGAAAAAAATTGGGCAAGAGACATGCTCAGAAACTTTTGAGGACAAATGACCAACAAATACATGAAAAAATAATCATTCCTAGGGCAGTGCCTGTGGCTCAGTGGGTAGGGCGCTGGCCCCATATACTGAGGGTGGCGGGTTCAAACCCAGCCCAGCCAAATTGCAACAAAAAAAAGCCAGGCATTGCGGCTGGCACCTGTAGTCCCAGCTACTTGGGAGGCTGAGGCAAGAGAATTGCCTAAGCCCAAGAGCTGGAGGTTGCTGTGAGCTGTGACATTACAGCACTCTACTGAGGGTGACAAAGTAAGACTCCTGTCTCTTAAAAAAAAAAAAGTCATTATCCTTAATCATCACAGAAATGCAAATCAAAATCACTTTGAGATATTACCTACCTCTGTGAAGCCGTGATCGATGTCTCATGCCTATAATCCTAGCACTTGGGAGGCTGAGGCAGGTGGATTGCTTGAGCTCACGGCTTCAAGACCAGCTTGACCCAGAGTGAGACCTTGTTTCTAAAAATAGCTGGGCCTTGTGGCAAGTGCCTGTTGTCCCAACTACTAGGGAGGCTGAGGTAAGAGAATCACTTGTGCCCAAGAGTTTGCAGTTGCTGTGAGTTATGATGGCATAGTGCTCTACGGAGGGTGACAAAGTGAGATTCTGTCTCAGTAACAACAACAACAAAGTCTTAACAATCACCTACCCTATGAGAATGGCTCATGACACAGGGTCCCAAAGCAACAGATGCTGGTGCGGGTGGGAAGAGAGGGGAAGACCCACGTACCATTGGTCCCATTGGTGGGATGTGAACTTACTAGTAAAGCCTCTGTTGTAACACGTACAGAAAGAACTAAAAGTATATCTATCATCTGATCCTGCAGTCTCATTACTATGTATCTACCAAAAGAAAAAAAAACATTTTACCATAAGGACATTTGCACTCCAAAGTTTATAGCAGCAATATTTGCAATTGTAAAGATGTGGAAACAACCCAGGTTCCATTCAACATGTGAATTGATTAATAAACTGGGGTAGATGTGTACGATGAAATATGATTCAGCCATGATGGAGGTATCATATCTTTTATAATAACCTGGATGGATTTGGAGAACATTCTCCTAAGCAGAGCATCATAAGAATGGAAAAGCAAGCACCATACATACTCAACACTCAGAATCAATAGATTAACAACTACATGTTCACATGAGAGAAAAACTCAGTTAAATACAAGTAAGGGAGGGGCATAAGGAGTGGGGTAAATTCCCACCCAGGGGGTACATAGCACAGATATACTGCACACTTTCTGGGTGAAGGGCCGAACTACAACCCTGACTTTAACCTTATAAAAAATACTATGTAACTTAATAGTACTGACGTCCCAGGCCAGGTTAGAACCCGCCACCACTGGTGCACAGGGCCAGCACTCTAACCGGATGCCCAGACTCCTATTGATCTGGAATAAACAAAGAGAGTGAAGTAGTAAATTTATACTCCAGAAAGGCCAGGTGAGATGGTTAATGTCTGTAATCCTAGCACTCTGGGAGGCTGGGGTGGGTGAATTGCCTGAGCTCAGGAATTTGAGACCAGCCTGTGCAAAAGCAAGACCTCATCTCTAAAAATAGCTGAGCATTGTAGCAGGTACCTGTAATCCCAGCTACTTGGGAGGCTGGGGCAAAAGAATTGCTTGAGCCAACTCAGTGCCTGTGGCTCAAGTGGCTAAGGTGCCAGCCACATACACCTAAGGTGGTGGGTTTGAATTCAGCCCAGCCCCGCCAAAAACAACAATGACAGCTGCAACAAAAAAATAGCCAGGTGTTGTGGCGGGCGCCTGTGGTACCAGCTACTTGGGAGGCTGAGGCAGGAGACTTGCTTGAGCCCA